AATAAAAATCTCTCTCTGTTGAACCAGGTATAAATATAGTTCTAGCTTAGGGCAGAATGTGTGTAAAAGACCAATTTTATGTTTATTATTATTTTTTTAAATCCATTCAATCGTGTCCAGTTCTCAGGGACTGCCTAGACAAGTCCCTGCAGTTTTCTTGGCAAGGTTTTTCAGAAGTGGTTTGCCATTGCCTTCTTCTGAGAGGGAGGTCTGAGAGAAAGTGACTGGCCCAAAGTCACCCAGTTGTTTCCAGCCTGATGCCTTAACCACTACACCAAACTGGCTCTCATTCACTAAATAGATGACATGAAAAAAATGTTATCTTAAGAGACAAATCTTGCAAAAGGAAAAGGAGGAAAGTACTGATTTGCCTACAGTAATGTGTAAGAATGAAAGTGAAAATGAACCATTAAAGCATTAACAGTTCATTATTGACTAATAATGTTCCACTTTCTCAGGAGATGTGTTTTTCTATATTATTTTCTTGGTGCTTTTGGACTTCCTTGAATGTTTTTTTGGTGATGTTTTGCCAGGGGCTGGAAAGTGTTGGACTTTTTCCTGCTATCCATATTTCTACCATATTCCTTGCTGTATAAGGTCAATGTATGTCAGAAATTATTATCACTGTTTACCTTGGTAATGTATAATTTAGCTAATCTGTACGGAATGTAAAATAGCTCTTCTTTGGACTGGTATCCATCCAGCTGATTGTCATGAGACAACTGTCCAGGAGTACTTGGATGACCTGCAATATATAAAAATACGAAGAAAAAGAAGGGCTGTGCAATGCTACCGATTTGATTCTGAAACATTGCTTTGAAAAACCCTGGTGTGTCAGCAATTCATTACAGCCACTGCATTTTTTTTCTGGAACTGAGTAGCTTTTCCCTGCAAATAGGGTTCCTGGGAACAGGCATGGCTGTTTTAATGAATTACTAACAGATGCTGTATTTTCATTATAGCACACTCTGACGTATCTTTTTGGTATCAAATGTAAAATATTGCACAGCCGTAGAAAACATCACTTAGGCCTTTAAGACAGTCTTTTCCAACCTGGTCCTCTCCATCTGAGTTTCTGAATTTCCAGCCAGTCAATTAGTTGATCTAATTTGTTGCCTTATCCCAGGCAACCTTTGGGACTTCAGAAGCTGCTGAACTGCACCTTCTTAGTATCTCCTGTTCCTGGCCAAGCAAAGATTGGTGGTAGTTGTAGTCCAGCAATGTCTGGATGTCGTTTGCTTATCCCTGCCTTATTTTTTAATATAAGCTTGAATGGGTGATTTAAAGAAGCAGGTCAACCCAACCATTCACACTTTGAAGGACAGGCCAATACCCTCATACGTTTATCATTAATAAAATAGTAAAAATAGTTTAAAATAAGATAAACTCAAGTGATACAAAATATTAAGCCTATACGTGATGGCTTGGCTTTGCCTCAGTGAGGTGTTTCATGCCCCTGAGGCAGCATAATTTTCCTGAGGGGAGATGGTGAGATGATAGTCTTTTTTGTGTACTTTGTATGGTTTTGGCCTCTTCCAGCAATTCACTAGCCTACTGGAAACGTTGGAAGAGGCCAGATTGCCTTACAATTTGGGCAGGTCCTCCCCAGTTTCCCCAGGGCTTGTGAGTTCAATACAGCCACAAGGAAAAATTATATTTATCATAAAAAGAAGTCATGACAAAGATGTTGGGGTTCTGAAATGTTAGTAACAGAAGATCCCACGCAGCGTTCAGCTAGTTTTAGCGGTTTAGCAGAGTAGAAGCGTTCAAACTTGCACAAAGGCTTAACTAAGTTCAGATCAAAATAAACACTCTCCAAACATTAGTAAAAGAGAAACAAAAGATAGCTCACAGTTTATTTTCAGATCCTCATACATAGCAGTTTCATAGTAGAAACGGTCCTGTGCGTATGAGTAATAAGTTCGGACGAAACCTACATGCTTCTGAATGTATGCAAGCAACCTGAGTGGAAGTAGGAAAGCCACGGGAAGGAGAGAGGGTTCCCTCATACCTCGTGCAGGGCCATGAGGGAAGGAAAAGAGAAAAAAAGAGAGGGAAACAGGAAAAAGGCGGGCTCCAAGCCCCTCCCACACAAAGCAGCAAAGCTAGGCCGCAGCGGGGCCGCCCCTCCCTTTGTGCACGCGTGAGACAGGCTAGGTTGAAACCCCATATTTTCCCAACAAAAGGAAAGACCCAAATTTGGCTGTGAGAATTTTATTATGAAATGGCAGACAGAATACATGTTTCTGCTTACATTGTGAAAACTACCTTTTTCTACTGCCGTTTTCTTTTCTTTCTTCTCACTGAGGCATTTTGCAAAGGAAAGCTTATTGTTGTAAAAACTCTTGTTCTTGTTCAAGAAAGCTTCCCCTTGCCCAGTTTCACCTGCAAAACAAATCAAGCTGAAACCCAAGCTAGTAAGTTGCTATCATTGTTTCTGAGCAGCGGATATCCTTGTGGCTTTAGAATTGCAATCTATCTCAAACTGTCCTTTAGATGACAAAGCTGAAACTGATCCAGAAAGAAAAACAGTTGTACTGCATCAAATATTTTTGCTGAGATCTAGATTTGTAATAAAGCTTCTGCTGAAATCGCTAACGTTTGCTGTGCCTAGACTCCAGTTATAATAATTTCAGGAAGAGATGAATCTACGGGGTATTTTCTGGTGGGCCATGTAGGAGTTAAGTAGAGATTGTCAGAGAGAAATGGTCAAAACCCAAGAGTAATCTAGATTCAAGGCTGAGAAGTATATGGACTTTCTTTCCTTTGAAATGATGGAAAGGCGTGAAGCAGCAGCAATGGTTTAACTGTTTAATGTGCCATTGTCCTAACTTTACTCTTATCTACTGTAGCTGTGCTGTGTCATGTTTCTGAGAGAAGTATGCCAAGTTTGGACCAAGCAGCCTAGTCAGGACATGCCAAGAATCACATCTGAGAACTTCTACCAAGTTCTTGCCTTTCTGCCTAACAGAGCACGGTGAATAAAAATTAATCCATAGATACAACCACACATAAATTTAGATCAAAGGTGAAGACTGCTGATATGTGGGCTGCAAATTCTTGTGACCACAAACCAGTCTATCTATTATTAGGTGCTCCCTGCCTCTATAATGAATAGAACTGTCCAGAGCACTACACATGAAGGCTTAATTATACATCATTTACAGGTTGCACTGTATAGATAGTATCTCTAATGATTTAGTTTTCCATTTACTTCATTGTAAGGTACTTGTTAACATCTGCACAATATTCTCTATTTTATTCTAAAAGGAAAAAAAATCTGTATTTATTTATGCATGTAGTCTTTCCTATACTCATTTGGCACACAAGTAAATAAACATTTTGTTTGCTTTTCCTCTCGCTATATACACATTTGAATGTACCAAGGAATTTATCCATCTGCACCTGTTTTTTAGACCAAACAAAATTCTCCAAGTGGATAGCTAGACACTATATTGCAAGGTACAGCAGGCTTTTCAGATGGCAGGCACCACTCCATGGTTTCACACAGGTACAAAATATAAAAATAAAGATGGCAAAATGTAATAAATAAAATATAAAATTATAAGCGCCCCATATCTCAGGCTTAGGGCACTTTTTAAAGTTCATTTTTAACCTGTGTTTAAAAATGTTTTAATTCTGGAAGGCAGTGGGTGACATATAATGGCGCTGCAAGGTTTTATGCCGCTCACAAGTACTGTATTGCCAATATCCACTGTATTACTGTTAAATTTGTGACTTTTTGTTTTCTTTTCCAACCTCACTTCTTATATTCCAGCATAGAAAACATGAATAAGGATGGATAAATGAAATTACATAATCTGAGTCTTTATAAATATTTTATTTCCTTCTCTTCTAAGGGTTATGTTAGGCCAACTGCACTGAAATACAAGCCACAAGTAGGACTGCTTTGAGCAATTCAATCCTTACAAGTTCCTGTATGAGATGATCTGATATGAACCTCTTGAATCAATGTGCTGATTGGTACTTAATTAGACAGGTCTTATACTCCAGTGAATGTTGTAACACTATTTAAGACAATTTAAATGTTTCAAAATTTAAAAGAAATGCTGAGCAAAAATATACATTTTTGAAAAAATCACAATTAAGAAGGAATGGAATGGAATTGTGAGAGTGCCATGTAATATGGCTTTTGACAGAAGAATGACTCTCTACCCTTGCTAATTTAAAACTTTTTATGTGTGCATCTGTGCTTACTCCTATTACATTCTTTGGATAATACCAAGTGCAGGCTATCTGAGGGACAAATCCTGAAAATCTGGCATTTATTATATCCAATTGTGTTCTGTTAGGTAATTCTTTGCCTTCCCAAAGGAGCCTCCACACTGCCTATCCCTATCTTTCCTCATAATAGTACAGAGCAACACAGCTTTCTTGATTCTGTCAGGGTTAGCAATTGACTGATAGAATCCACAAATGTCCTTTTTGGAGCTTTCTGGGGCTAAGTGGCTTCTCTAGGCAAAGTGACATGGCTGTCTTACTTGTTTCTCCTACTGTGGCCTCCTGTCTTGCACTGCCTTTTCCCCAGAAGGCAGACCTCTTCAGAGGGTCCTACTGCTGTTGTATCTGCAGTAGGCCATGGCCTCTGTAACCTTTTTGGGAAGCACAGTGTGGCTTCATACTATGCAAGGGATGTGCAGCACTGGATTTTTGCTCATCATCAGGTCATGAGAAATGTATAAATGGGATAAAGTTAATGGTACATTTGTTGCTTAAAGCATGTAATAAAATGTATAGGATTGTATTTTGGAATGTTTTTGACAAATACGGAGTTGAATGTTGGTTGCTGAATGCAGTAAGAGCTGGAATTAAAGGATCTGTGAGAATAAATGGAATGCTTAGAGAATGGTTTAATACTGAGCAAGGAGTAGCACAAGGATATGTGACTTCCCATTGATTCTATAGTACATTTATGGACAAATGTATAACAAACTTTTGTAGTGATGTTAGAAGTATCTTGGTTGAGGATGAGAATATACCAACGATGCTCTGCTGTTGTCTGAGAATCCAAAACATTTACAGTGACGGTTAGATTATATGATACAACAGAGTATGGATCTGAAAATTAATGTATCAAAAAATAAAGTAGTTGCATTTGACAGGAAAATGTTTGTAAGAGTACAAATGACAAAAGTGAGCGATTAAAATGAAAGTATGTTGGGCTGGTTTATAGAGAAAGTAAATACAGATCAAATCAGAAAACAAGTATATTAAGGGAACAGTGAATTGGTAGAGAAGAAGGGGAAAACTAAGAAAGATGTGGTTGAATGGAATTGATGAGATCCTCCAAAAGAGTGATGTGAGAAGTTTAAAGAAAAAAGAGCAATATATAAATCACTGTGGATGTGGTAGAAGTAAGGATTGTTTTCAAGAAATGAACTATATTGATATAGACTAGATTTATCTTTTTTCTTTTCTCATGTCTTCAGTTTCTTGTGGTTACTATTTCTTACTGCAATGGCATCTGCAGAAGCTTGCACTTTCCTTTACACCATGTCACTGCAAGCTGTGCCTCCTTTGCATGAGTGATGAGTGCATATATATATGCATGTATGTATGCACTGTATCATTACTGTAACAGATATTTCCTATACTGAACATTCAGCATTGGTGCCTGTCCAGGATAACAGTGCTGAAATTCAGATAGAGATCTATGGCCTTCCTCAAAGTTGTCTTAGTCAGATGAGTTAAAATTATTAATTCCCTCCCAGCATAATTCTGGAAATTTTAATCCTAGTAACAGGTGTAATCATTGGCCTTGCTTACCATGTCCAATTTCCTCCTCAATGGCTATATTTTTTGTTGAATGTGAAGGATGGGCTTCTATCTCGTCCATGTCATCAGTAACAGTTCCTGGCAGGGAAATATATGAGATGATGTTTGATTGTGATTTGGACTCAACATTATTTCTCAGGCACTCTTCAGTTAGTTGGGAACTTGATGGGAAAACTGTTTGTATCCAGGCCCCTGAAACAGAAATATGTGTTTCATTCATATCATTAAACCTAGAAAGTTAAATCTGAGAAAGAATTGCTATGTACCAGAGAAATTGCAGCTAGTATGAAGAAGTTCAGTGCTGTGCTGCATCACTTGACCTCTTTCTGAAGTGCAAAAGTGGTCAAGCTGACAAAGGGAGCTTCATGCCTCAGATGTCAACATGCTTGTGACGGTGACTTCCAAAGCTGCAGAATTTTGCATACTATTTTTATGGCAGGGTTTCCAGTCACACTTGCCTTTCTAAGGTGGAATCACACCAGAACTGTATGATAAGCCCTAAAACAGCCTTTATGTTAAAAAAACAGATAAAGAACTTTCTGCATCAACACAGGAAAAAAAACAACCCTCCCAGAATGTTTTGCCTCTGCCCTTGTATGTGATATGGCTCTGCCTATTGAGGCAGAGGACCCACTGAGGTCCTCTCCATATTAAAAAGTTCAGTGCAGCCCCCGCCTACCAAAAGTGTGTTCAGCCCAGTTTTATGGCATCAGAAGCAAGCCACTTCAGCAGAAAATGTTCCCCACAAGCTGTTATTTATATTGTTCTTTAAAACAAGTATCTCACCCATTCTTTTCCTAAAGGTTCATGCCCACAACTTCCTCATCTCCAATTTTCTCAACTTCCATCACCCAATTTTTCTCAAATAATTCTTCTTTCTCCAACAACAGGAATCTTTGCCCAGATGCCTCTCACTTTTTCCCCAGATCCTTAAAAAATAAAGGCTTAGTCCTTTATTTTTCTTCCCCGCTGGAAACAAAATCTGAAGCTTCATTGCACATATTTGTTATCACCTGTTCTACTTGCTACTTATTTTGCTCTGTTCCTCTCCCTTCCTGCATGTTTTGGCTCCATCTCTTATTCAAGTTAATATAATTAAATTCCAGAAGACGGGGACATTTTGAGGTTGCATTATATTATTTTGTAAAGAGAACCAATATAGTGTAACGGTGAGTGTTGGCCTTGGACTGGCTTGAACGACATGAGATTCAACGTATGGCTTTACCA